CGTTTAACCTCAAACAGGACGTCGCATCTGGAAACGCACATGTGGGTGGAGTGTTTGGACAGCTGGCAACGGCGGCGCTCTCGAGCCTAACACTCTCCCCACCGCAGCGACACTCACCCAAACAGAGAGGGAGGAAAGGGGGGGGGGGGGGTAGAAGAGAAGGTAGACGCACAGAAAATCCAAGCGTATAAAAATGTCACACAACTGCAATTGAGCGAACTGATTCACACGAACGCAGGTGCATTCTTTTCTTCACACTGCTGCAGGTGACCAAATGTCCATTCCCACTCATGTGTTTACTTTGGAAAGCGTAAACATTGTAAACATAAGCCGGAACACGACACATCCAAAAAAGCATACATAACAAAAACGAGAGCCAGAGACAAAAAAAAAAAAGGGACGCCAACGATTAATTATTGATGACGTGACAGAAACAAAGTGCGCCCTAACAAAACGAAAAAGTGTAACGAATTGTTTTCCATTACGCAAGCCTCGCGTAATGAGCGGGTGGAGCGCGGTCAGTTCGTTTCGTCGGAGCTGATTAGCCGCGACGTCAACGCCAGCCCCTCGGCCTCGGCCAGCCCCTCCTCGGCCAGCCCCCTCGGCCTCGGTCGGCCCTTCCTCGGCCAGCCCCTCCTGCGCCAGCCCCCTCGGCCACAGCCCGCAAAGATGGGCTATTTCCCGTCACCGTAATCCGCAGAGGGGGCCGATGCTGATGACATCCGGTCCCTCTCCTCGGTTTCAGGTGGCACCATAATTTTTTTGAAGGAGAGAAAGATAATACGTCACATCAATCTCAATGCCCCACCCTCCACCTCGCTTTACAAAAAATGTGAAACGTCGATTTATTCGGTGGAGAGGCAGCAGCCCTCCTATCGTATGCCGCATTAGGTCCCGGTGGCGATGACCAGGTACATGGCGGGTGGAGCCGGGTGGAGCCGGGTGGAGCGGCGGTAGAGGGAGGCGGGGTGGTTCGAGGGACAGCCGATCGGGAGGCCACGGCAGAGTAATCCCGCCACGGCCGCCCAGCGAGACGGATGCGCTATATTTCACTCATTTCCCATCCCAGGGGCCCCCAGGGGGGATGCGCGAGGGGTGCTCGCCTGCCAGGTAGGCGGGGCGCCGCTTTCACACCTGCGCCCCATCCAGCTAACCGTCGATAGGGGATTGGGGAGGGGGGGGGAAAGAGGGGAGTCCATCAGCGGGGGGAAGGGTGGATCGTGACCCCTCGGCGAGGACCCCGAACCCCAGCTGTACAATCCGCCCGCAGGTGAACGTATCGCCTCCTATTTACCGCGTACCCCACGCAACCGAGGTCTGCAGCACCCCAAGTCGCCTATCGAGGTCCACCCCAACGACGCTGCTGTAGCCTACCCCACTCCACACAGCCCCCTCGTAACCTACCCCCCAACCCACGGACGCGGCCGCCACCGCCGCACACGCCGCCCTTTGCCCGAATGCGCGCCTGGCATGAAAAATGCACACATATTTGCTGGCCTCCCCTCTCCCCGGTCCGGTCCGGACGGGTCGGGCCGCCAGAATGAAGATACGACCGGGGGAGGAGATGTGTGCATTTTTCGGCAAGAAGCAGCTCTCGGAGCAGGGCGGAGGCTGTTCCATTCCAGCCCAGTTGGGCTTCCCTGCTGTGTACCGTGACCTCCTGAACCCGCGTAGAGTTCTGCCACACCTTCAAGCTTTTAAATATAAGATTATGGGTACTTTTCCCAAAAAACAAAAAAAACAACACCAATAAGAGTTGACCACAATAACGTGTTTTGGACGGCTGTCAAAATAAACACCAACTATTTCGTGTTGCCTCTACGCACCACACTATGCATGATGCAAAGCTTTAATTAATTTTCTGGGAGCCAGTTTTCTGCCCAGTCCTCTAGAAGGAAAAAATCTCCACAGCGGCGACTCCCGGCTCACCGCCATAAACACGAGCGAGTAACAACGACACGGCGAAGGGTCGGCGCCGTTAAGTACATCGGGGCCATAAGTGTCGGAAACAAAGCTGGACCCGGCCGACCCTCCGGCAGAGACCCCGGCCCCGACCTGGCCCGGCCGGCCTGCCCGGGCGACCTCAAACGCTACCCTCCGAGAGAACGACAAAGAGAAAGTCAAGTATACTCGCTCACGGAACGCGTCTCATATCCAAAACCGAAACATTTGCTGGTGGACCTGGTAGAAACCTTCCGTTTCTTTTCTGCCCGGAGGGGAAGAAAAGGTAGGAGATGCCTTTTGATGCCCGCCTCCTTGAGCGACCCCATTCCGCATGGAACAGAAGACGACATCGCCATCGGATACACGGCTCTGCGCGGCGCGCAAAAAGGCGCTAAGAAAAGAGGAAGAAATGAGACAAAAGAAGCTCGCCGCCGCCGTCGTCTTTCTCATTTTCAGCCTCTGCGAGGTGGCACACGAGGCACTCCTCCGGGCGCCTCCGGACTCCTCCGCGGCTAAGCCTTTGAGCCGGCAACACCGGCCCCTTTTGTCGGCCTCCTGGCCTCCTTCATAGCGAAATTAGACAGCACTCAGGAGGGCAGGGAGGGGTAAGGAGGGGGG